TGTCAGGATAGATGCCAGAGCAATACTTGAATTGGCTACCAGGAGAAACTTTTAAATTCGAGCTTTTGTTGAAAAGTCCTGTTTGCCTTTTGAATTGTATTATGAAAATTCTGCTGGGAAGGGATAGGGTGCATGAACAATTAGGGACTTTCGGCATTGTAGTTGTTAATCTATCTCTAATTTTACTGGTCACAATTAAATTTCTCTAGTTTTTGGGTCATTCATCGTTCCATGAATGTTTCAAAACGAACTGTGCTTGCCAATTTGATCATGTACAAGTTTAGTGTGACCAACTACACTGGCTGTTATATTTATCTATTGTTTTGTGTCACGACAGTTTGCTTTCTGCTGTAGGACTATATTGACTCTGTTATTCCCCATTCGAGACTTCCATTGCACCACCTTTTTGTGTATGTCAATTAACATTTCGATAATTTAATAGCATTATTGACTTACAATACTATTGTATTGTGCTGGTATGGAGCGCAGATTTGATATACTGGGACTTCATGAGTTTGATAGTGATCGTAAGAGAATGTCTGTCATAGTTGGCTGCCCTGATAAGACTGTTAAGCTGTATGTGAAAGGTGCGGACAGTTCAATATTTGGAATTACAAACAATTCATCTGAATTGGACATTGTTCGTGCTACAGAGGCGCATCTCCACAAGTATTCTTCACTTGGTCTAAGAACTCTTGTTGTTGGTATGCGCGAACTGAGTCGATCTGAGTTTGAGGAGTGGCAATTAGCTTATGAGAATGCCAGCACAGCAGTACTTGGAAGAGTAAACTTACTCCGATCTGTTGCTGCAAACATAGAGCGCAATGTCCACATATTGGGGGCCACTGGGATTGAAGATAAGCTTCAAGATGGGGTTCCAGAAGCAATAGAGTCTCTTAGGCAAGCAGACATAAAGGTTTGGATTTTGACTGGAGATAAGCAGGAGACCGCAATTTCTATTGGCTACTCCTGTAAGCTGCTGACCAATGAGATGACACAAATTGTTATAAATAACAATTCAAAGGAGTCATGTCAGAGAAGTCTTGTGGAGGCGCTTGCTACAACTAAGAAGCTCAGAGCTGCTTCATCAATTGGTACACAGGGTCCATTGTTAGCATCAGAAACTTCTACTGTAACTCTTGCTTTGATTGTAGATGGTAACAGCCTTGTTTACATTCTGGAGACGGAGTTGCAAGATGAGGTAACCATCTTGATATAGCAACCAATGAATGTTCTAGACTTATGGTTTCGTTTTGACTTTTAGTACTAAGTTTCATGACTGATGCATGAATTGCTTTCTTTTGTTTGTGGCAGCTTTTCAAACTAGCAACTGAATGTAGTGTTGTCTTATGTTGTCGAGTGGCTCCATTACAGAAGGCAGGGATAGTTGCCCTTATCAAGAACAGGACAGATGATATGACCTTAGCAATTGGTGATGGTATTATTCCTCCTGCTTCCCTTATTATGGCGTATTTTATTCTCTATGAACTAATATGTTCAAATCTGATATATGAATTTCCTTACCTATGGTATTCAGGTGCAAATGATGTTTCAATGATTCAAATGGCCGATGTTGGGATTGGCATCAGTGGCCAAGAAGGACGACAAGCTGTTATGGCATCAGATTTTTCTATGGGACAATTTAGATTCTTGGTTCCTCTTTTATTAGTTCATGGTCACTGGAATTATCAAAGGATGGCCTATATGATCCTTTACAACTTTTACAAGAATGCTACGTTTGTCTTGGTTCTTTTCTGGTAAGAGTTTTTGGTTTCTTAATATAGATATCTGCATTATGAACCTGAAAAAGGTAGTAGTTGTCCTCTATGCTATGTCTAACGTAAATTAGTTTGGAAAAAGGCTAGGCTTCAATTATATTATAATTTATCTAGTAAATGATTTCTACTAGGTTTACAAATATTGTATTTGAAGGGCAGGCCTGGTGCAGTGATGAGAGCTGTCTCACTGAGTCACCAGGTCGTGGGTTCGAAGCAGCCTCTCTGCAGATTTGCGGGGGGAAAGCTTGCCTCGGTTTTTCCCTTCCCTAGACCCCACTCATGTGGGAGCCTCCGGCACTGGGTTTGCCCTTTTTTTTTACAAATATTGTATCTGGTTATGTAAGTTGGATGGTTCAAATTTCTTGCACTAACTATTTTTCTTATAATTACTCAGATATTTCTGAAAAACTAATACTCACATGTGATCCCAGGTATGTACTGTATACAGCATTCACTTTGACAACTGCTATCACTGAATGGAGCAGTCTCCTGTATACTGTCCTTTATACGTCCCTTCCAACAATTGTCGTCGGCATTCTTGACAAGGATCTTAATAAGGCAACCCTGTTAGCTTATCCAAAGCTATATGGATCTGGCCAGAGGGATGACAAGTACAATGTGAATTTGTTTGTGCTCAATATGCTTGAAGCACTATGGCAGAGTTTGGCCGTTTTCTACTTGCCATATTTTGTATATAGACTAAGCACAATAGATATGTCTAGTCTTGGAGACTTGTGGGCACTTGCACCTGTCATTGTTGTAAATATGCAATTGGCCATGGACATTATTAGGTGGAACTGGATAATACATGCGTTTGTTTGGGGCACAATAGCTGCAACAACAGTCTGCCTCTTTGTGATAGATTCCATATGGGTTCTTCCAGGGTATGGGTGAGTACTTCCTCTTCAGCCTCTTGTGACTGAACTCATGCATTTTCCTTTTTTATTCCATGAATTAACTGCATCATCGTTATTACACATTCAGTGGGTTGACGTTCAGAAGAGCAAAATGAATTCAGATCCTTTTCTCTGCAGAATAATGTTCTTAGAATGTAAAATGATTCATTTCTTGAAACATGTTAGTGGAGGATCGCATGAAGAAACAAACCAAACTAATGCTCACTAGAAAAAAGAAAGAAAAAACAGTACTTCTCATTACCGAGGAGAGTGGACTATAAGTCTATAATCTCTGTGTCTAGCATGCACAATATTATGATTTGCTACTTTTGCACTGTGGCTTTTCAAATACATTGAGAACCCCAATAATCAAAACTTAATAAGAATCATATGCATTAATATGTTGCTTTGTGATTACTTGAATAGCTGCGGTGAATTGCATGATAACTGTTTCCATTAATTATTCCAGGGCAATTTTTCATATAATGGGGACTGGCCTGTTTTGGTTTCTGCTGCTTATCATTGTTGTTACAGCAATGGTCCCACATTTTGTATTCAAGGCTTTCACTGAACACTTTAGGCCCAGCGATATTCAAATTGCCCGTGAGATGGAAAAATTTGCAAATGTAAATCAGGTGAACTTGTCGGAAATTCCAATGAGAGGACTTTCATGACAATAGCAGGGAACCTATAGTATTTCTTTTTCTTCTTTTCACTTCTTTTTTTCCCCTTTTGGTGTGAATACGAGCTGATGCATTTAGCTGTAAGTTTATAGGTTTAATCTCTAATGTGCATGTATGTATTCGTCTAACATTTACAGAAAAGGAAATAGAAGTCGATGCACAACAAGTTTTCACCCGTTTGTTGCAGCACTATTGCGGGCTAAATTTGTGGAGAGTGTATTGTAAATATGGAGTACTTGGATGCTTGGAAATTCAATTTCCAAGTTTGTAGAGTGTAAATTTGGGAACACAGATGCCTGGAAATTTAAGTTCCAATTTTGTTTCTCCCGAAATTTATAAGTTCCAAAAAATTTTCTTGCTGGTTTGCTCATGTATTCTCCTAGTCACAGTTTGTTTGTTTTGACTGTTGCATGTGTGGTAGGGATATTGCAGCATTGGATCCCAAAATTCCAAAGTATTACAGGTAAGTGCTTGTGCCACTGCCATGTAGACTCCACAAGCCAGTTGTGCCACCACATTTGGTAGTGGCAGGAGTGCACATAGGGCCTGTATGGTTGCTTTACTGGCCTTAGCATCGCCGGCCAAGCAGCCATCACAGCCCCAGGCCTCCAAAATCGAATGCCTGGGAACGCTGCCTGGGCTAGGAGCTGCCTAGGAGGCAGGAACCAAACAGGTCCATAGAGTATTTGCACCTGATTTCTATGCTAAATGAACATAGCTGATTGAATTGCCTGTTCCTACTGTAGTAACAACCTACGTTGTTTTCACATTTTTTGCATCCGGAAAATATTTACGGGTCAAAGGATCGACTATACAAATTCTTGGGGGTTATCTAAAACTAAGCTGATTCAATTTCACCTCTCCAATTGAGCTAAGAAATCATTACGATTTAACAAAAAAGAATTGTGCATTTTGGTTTTATTATTCTTCTCAAAATAAAGAAAACACCGAAATGTTCCGAGCAACTTTGGGTGCCTCTGGTTGGATGAATATCCCTGAATGGGATATGACAATCTATGGACAGCTGCTGTTTGGTTTATTGACGAGTTGGATATGGATATCCCAAGTAGGGAATAATTCTTCTAGATGCTAGATATCCCTGCCACAAAAAAAAGTTGCCGCACGAGCATAAACATATACAGGCTAGTGACCATTATCATCTCTTTAATTGCGTTCATGAACCTAGTTACCTACTGCATGACCTCAATGCAATTACTCTATCCATTCCAAATTATAATTTGTTCTGGACTTTTTAGATATATATAGCTTTTACTATGTAGATACATAGCAAAATCTATGTATTTAGAAAAGTCTGAACGACTTATAATTTAGAATGGAGTGAGTACATTAAGCTTTAACCGGTGCCAGCTAAAAGGCTATCGACATCAATTCACAGGCCTACTGTATTTACATAAGCGCTCCTTGAGCAGTCAGAATCTTCAGACCAACCTAGCTATCATCAGAAAGAAAAGAAAAACTGTAAATCTTGGCCAGGTCTGAGTTGATTGCCAAACTGCTGTGCTTAGCGACAGATCAATTCAAGAAAAGCTTAAATAGGAACATTGACCATCCTCTGGTATCCTTTGTTTTGAGGACACTTTATTTGCGGTATGATGTCACTGATGGGAGCATCTACAAGTTTCTCAGGTCCTCTCCTGAAATGTCTGAGAGCGGGAAAACGCTGCTGGATTGGCCTGCAGGGATTCTGGCATCTTAGTCTCACTATTTTTCAGATCCTTGGACTGGAAAGACTTGAATATGATTCTCTCATCAGGCTTGATACCAAGAGAGGCCCAGATTGAACTCTTTGCTGCCTCTTCTGGGTTGTCAATTCGGAGAGCTTTAGGGACCCAAAACTTTTTTTCTGCCTTCTGTTCTTCCTGCATATTAGCTACCCTTGTATGCTTTCCTAACACCCTAGAGTTGCTTCCTGAAAAAGCTAAACTGTTTGGAGGAAGAGATAGTAATGTAGGGCCACTACTTCCTGGCCATGGTGCACCCCATACTGCACTTGGCCAGCCAGGAATGCAGCTCACGAAGGCTGGCACTAGAGGGAATGGAACAGCAGGTGCACAAATTCCTGGGGTTGGTACCATCATGGGTGGTGGTGGCAGTGAAAGAGGACTGACCGTCCTATTTCCCGACCCAAGAATACCATCTGCTGAGCACTGATTAGTCACCATGACTGCAGCAGGATTTCTGGAGAACACCGAAACGGGTCCAGCATGGTGAGATTCCGTGTTGGGATCAGGTTCTTTCACACCATTACCGTAAGCTGAAGTATTATCCTCCTTTTTAACTGTATTTTCTGGCATCCAGTTTTCGGAGGAACCAGATACCACTGCAGAGGATGCACATGATTTCTCTTCCTTATTGTCACCAGAGACTAAGGAAATAAGGTCGGCATTATTCTGCTCTTTAATATTAAAGACTGGAGAGACAGACTTGCATGCTGTTTCATTTTGTTTTCCTGAAGCTTGAAGTACAGATGGCTTGACTGCAAGAGACTGGTGCTGAGTTGCATCAGAAACATCTCCATTAGCAGTTATGATATGATCACACGGCTTGGTGACATGATGGTGATGAGATGGATCCTTATTTCTGCGTCTACCAGAACCTACAGGGACATTCCTCATATTTCCCCCGGCAGTCCAGTACCTCTTGCAGTTTCGGCAGAAATGCCTGGGCTGGTTCACATTGTAATTGTTGAAGTAGCAGAACTTTGTTTCCATACTGTGGCAGCGAGGGCAAGGCAGAATCTTATCTGGCTTCTTGAGTACCTTCCCTTGGCCAGATCCACCAGATTCAGTCTTAGCTTCCTCAGACTTGGAATCGTCTGTTTTCCCAGGCTGACTGATGATAGCTTGTAAACTATTCTTAACTTCCTCAGACTTGGAATCAGATTCCATTTTCCCATCCTGAATGCTGATAGCTTCTAAACCATTCTTCATATTGTTCTTGGAAGAGAAGGGACTTGCTTTGACAATGAAAGACATGTTGGGAAGGCATGGCATGCCATCATTGCTTCTTACATCATTTGCTAACTTGGTGCTAACCTGAAACAGATAATTTATGACGTGTCATCAGAAGATAAACATCAGATAATAGATTAGACAAGTCAGCAGATGAAAAGCATTATATCAAGCATAATTTTAGTTTAATTCAGATCCAGACACAGGTACCAAATACTAACACTAAGCAACAGTTACCAACTACCATTTTATTTGGCACTGGAGACGGAATTAGTTACTATTAAGCATAAAAATATGGAAACTTTGAGACATTTTGTGTACTGCCTGTCACTGATGAAATTAAATGAGGGGTCAATACTCGCAAGAACCACCCAATGTGTTACATGATTTGCATTTCCATGCCCCACAACTGAGGTTGTTAAAACTTCTTGACCCGTTGCTTTTCAACGAACTGTTGGTCCAACTATGGAAGTACACTGATGCACTTGTGTTCAACCAGATTAGGCTGAACCACATCTATCATGTGGCACTGGAATTTCATACTTCATATGTCAGTGTTTGCTACTTTCAAGTTACAGCAAACTCGTTTCCATTGCACATGTACTTACCTAAAACACGTGTGCGGGTGACCTGGTGTTGAAATATAGTTCGGGTGCAAGTGTGAGGTGCCCGACTTGGTATATTTTGTTTCTTTGGAGACACAAATACCACTTTGAATCTGTCACGAATGTTTGAATCCAACATGGGTGCCTGAATTCGACACGAGTACAGGTGTCCAGATCAGACAAACTTTCTAGGACTCGGGTGTCTAGGTAAAAACCTATGTAGGCTATGGAGTATTTCAAACAAGTGTTCATGGATCAGCTTTCAGCTATGTTGCTCATAACTCAAAGGCCACTATCACAGTACTAATGTTCTGAAACATGCCGACACTTCAATGGTAGACCAGGCAATTACCAACAATTTAAGACAATAATTTCGTGGTTGCCACATATGGACCACAGTTGACTTCCAAAGATCAGTGTATTAGGGACGCATACCAAAATGGAAACCTTAATTAAATGAAATAGCTTTCTTCAAAAAAATTAAATGAAATAGTACATGTACAACAAGGTTGTTCCAGCAAACCAAAAGGACCATCCCTGATTCCACCATCAGAGTGTAAATAGTAATAAGATTGTGTTCTTGTTCATAGGTACAGCAGAAACAACCAGTCCCTTGTCACACTCACACAACTTGCTTTCATATTTAGTACACTGAAAGATAGGCAGAGGAACTCACCCTCTCTTTTTTTTAAACAAAAAAAAGACACCCAGAGGAACTCACCCTCTCTCTTTTTTTTAAACAAAAAAAAGACACCCAGAGGAACTTAAGGAACCTGATTATAATACTGGTCTCTTGACTGACATAACCTGAATGTTCCTTATCTTTTCGACGGCATTACCCCCAAGAAAACAAGAAAATTCTCAGCGATTTCTCCTCAGACAAAGGCAATGTACTTTTTAAAGAAAAAAAAAGGAAACAAAATCATACATGGACACTATGAACAAGGCAAGCAATCTTCATACCACACATATTGAGCATTTCGATTCCAAACTATCACATAAAGCACCAACAGAAGTAATCCCTCAGCAGTCAGCACGAAACGATTATTATAGCAAACCAAAAAATTCCTTGAAACCACAATGCCGTCAAGTAGCCAATAAACACATTGGAAGAGAATTCCCGTACAAACAATGACCATCCTGCCCCCCGCCAGAACGGACCCCGTCGACCGAGAAAAGAACCCCGTCCATCCCTCGTCGTCAAGGAATGATTCCGAGAGCTGGGACTGCGGCTGCTCACCTTGGATGCGGTGGCGGCGACGACGGAGGAGTGGAGGACCGGGATGCTGCGGCCGAAGAGCTTAATGGCAGCGTCCTGTCCACGGCCCCGGCCCCGGTCCTGGTCCAGGCCTCCTCCGGGCGCGGCCATGGCGCGCCGGCCGATCTCGGCCCCGCGCGCGGTCACCGGGAACAGCAGGCGGCGCCTCGTGCGGGTGGCATGCGGCGGTCCGTCTCGAGGACGGGGTGCTGCCGAGGAATGGAAGGGAAGGGAAGGAGAAGAGGGAGAGGAAGACGGCGGTGATGATTGCGTGGGTGCTCGAGCGGAAAGGCGGCCTGCTGCTCTGGGACTCTGGAGTCTGGAGCGAGGTTGTGTTGTGCCCAGGCGAGGAGACTTTGGTGGCCTTTTCGCCCCCTTTTCTGATGGCTGCAGCAGGAGAAGGGAGGAAGGGCGACCGGGGCAGCCGGTGAGAATGTGTTGGCGGGTCGGCTGGCGGCTGGCGCGCACGGGGCGTGTCCTGCTCCTGTGCTGCCCGCCCTTCAGTATGCGAGGAGCAAATAGCGCCGTATCCGACGATTGCGAGCCAAAATATAAGATCCACTCGTTTTTAAGTAGCGCTACAGGCAGGTAGTGTGTTTAATATTTTTTTCTTCTCCAACAAAAACAAGACCTAAAAGATATTTTTTAAAAAAAAATTAGTCTTCAGGAGAGAGGATAATCAAATTTAGGTTATGCCTCTCCTGACACCAAAATAGATTTTTCATATAGATACTCCGTTGGAGGCTATATGTATTATGTTGAAGACCTATTTTGAATTTGGGTTTCGCAATAGGTCAGTCTCGCAATAGAGCCCCCAGTTTAAGGACTTTTTTTTTCCTTGAGCAGCATTTTGGTTGTGAAATTACATGGAATGGAGTCATGGAGAAATTATGAGTATGAACCCAGAAGTCGATGAATCAGATATTACTTTTAAGTTTAGGTTACACTATCTTTTAGAAAGAAACAACAAAATCACCGAATGATAATAGTTGCCAGTGCTATAAGAGAAACGACCGGTAGCGTGACAGTAAGATAATGTTCGGCTGATATTAAAGTCGGTTGAAGCTGTTTTACTGTGAGAGAAAAATACTATAAATTCTAGCTGATAAGTTCAAACGAACAGGCCCAGCCGGTGAAGTGGGTAACGCGTAGGTGTTGTGGACCAAAGATAACGAACAAACAGTGGCATATTAGCTGCTATTTTTACTTTTAAATTTACGTTACAATCCTTTTCTTAAATGGAAACGGCAAATAAAGCTTCGAAATGTAAATAGGAAGTAAGAATTTGTTGTTAGAATCTAAGTTATAGTTGCTTAATTCTGCTCCAAGATTCATGGTGCCATATTTACTAGTACCTTTTATTTGTTCATGGTTCCACCATTTTCCACAAAATATATGTAAGTACTTCTATTCCCAAGATGGAAGGTAGGGTGAAAGTGTAATCAAGCTCTAATTGTAGGTTTTGGTGATAATGACCACGCAATTAGAGAACTAATGAGATTTATCGAGATGACAATTACACAAAACAGAGGAGTCCCCAATTACAAATGTTGATGGCTTCAAACTCAAAGAAGATTTAAATTCTTTTATATTTTAGCATGTCTATCTCCGTAAATAAAAACGACCGTCCTCTGGATATTTTTTTGATAGTAGTTCTAGGTAATCGTTAGGGTATGCAAAATTAGACACATGCATCGTAGCAAAGAGATTAAAGGAAATAGGTAATAACATGATCAAGTGACGCTTGCCTTCTCCAAACTTTTGCTGCTCAGGCTCCAAATACTGCTCCTGGAAATCCCCCTGCTGCTTTCCTTCTGTATGTCACTCACATCGTTCAATCAAAGGCACATACGAACATACAAAACTCAGATAAGTAAAAAAAAGGGGTCGTTTGGTAGAGATTCTCTACCAGCTCCAGGATGTATTTTGCGGCTCCGTCTGCTAAACGCGTAAGAAGGGAAGGGAGCCTATTCGCTTACACTGAAATTTAGTTTATGCTAATGTTAAATTGTTACGAAAGAAAAATATTTTTTTCATGGAAAAAAAAAGTAGCTCAAGCGACGAGGACTAGCTCCCACCAGCTTCAACTTGCGATGGTGGCCCCCACGCGCAACCATGGTCGTCTTTGCCCTTGCGGAAGCGCGCGGGCATGGTCAAGGCAGTCGCGATCGGCGCGGGAAGGGATGACTAGCGCGGCCGCGCGGCGAGGGGCATAGGCGGCATGCCCGCACGGGGACGAGCGAAGACGGCGCGAGGATGTTTGGGCGTGGTGGTGTGAAGCCGGCGCGGGCGCGGAGGGCGGAGCCGGCGTGGAGGGCGGAGCCAGCGCGGGCGCGGAAGTGCGGCACCGCCGCCGGCCCGTGGTGCGTGCGGCCGCGTGAGCCGATAAGGATGAAGAGCTGTGGTGTGGTGCGTACGCAGATAAGGTTGGGAAAGAAAAGAAATGAAAAGGAAAGGAAAGGAAAAAAATAAAAAGGGTATTTTGGAGATTTTATCCTTTTAGATTACCAGGCGAAACTGTTTTGCCAAACGATATAAAAAACTACTTCAACTCTTCAATTGAATCTGGTTCACAGGTGAAGCCACAATTGAATCCGTTTTAGTTAAAGCCGGAGCCCTCCCAAACGCACCCAAAACATCAAACAACTGCACCAGTACATGAAACACATACTAAACTGTAGAGCACGTCGCTATAGTCTCGCGAGCACAAATATCATCGAAAACAGATTTAAAACATAAAAGATACTCCCCGTTCCTTGTTATAAGTCGCTATGACTTTTTTGATACATCTATTTTACTATGCATCTAGATATATAAATTATAAGTTGCTATGACTTTTTTGTATCATCCATTTTGCTATGCATCTAGATAGCAAATTGGATGTACTAAAAAAAGTCATAGCGACTTATAGTTTGGAACGGAGGGAGTATGTAGGTTAAAAACATGTTTTTAGGGGCATAAACGCAAAAGATAATGGGGTTTCGGGGCCTTTTCTGAAAACTACAGTGGCACAGAAACTTTTGCACGTAAAAACCGTGAAACACGGAGGCTTTTGTGCAAAAACTTAGGCACTGCTTGGGTTCTCCTTGGTTGACCGACGGTTGACTCTGGTTAAAGCTTCGGGCCGTCCATCTTCAATCTGATGACTTACGGCAAGCAGTTGATCTCTGGCCATGGTCTACGGAGAACGTGCCGTGAGGTTCGCTGGCACCATGGCGGCATGGCGAACTCTCCTAGCGGGCTAGCCGACTAGGTGGCAACGGTCCTCGGCAGCCCCCGAGAAGCGGGGGCGGCCATGGGCGGAGCCGAGGCCCAGCCACCCTAGGCCAATGGCGGGGCTGCTGGCTGCTGCACACACAAATAGTTAGTCATAGTTCATAACAAAAAAACAAACAGTGAAGCTACGTACAGACCCTACTAAAAACAAAAGCTAATTCTCCTATGACTAAAAAGAACAAAACTAAGATCACCGTTTCGTGCGACATTCGATCGGGTCACCTTTCTGCGTACGACATGCGATCCCACGGTGCTTTCCTCTCTCGCCTGACCATGTGGTGGACCTAGCTCCGCGCTCCCTCGCACGCACGGTTTTCCTCGTGCCATCGATCACGCACGCAAAAGAAACCTCCCGCGACAGTCATCGCCATCGATCTCGGGCGGCAATCATCGCCATCGTGCGGCCTCCCTCATCAGCGTCGTCGCCGCTGTGCCACCCCCACTCGACCCTCGTCGTCGGACGGGCCATTGCGCCATGTCGTAGCACCTCCGTTCCTCGGCCTCGACCAGCACACGCCGCCGCCTTCGGACGGGCCACTGCTGGACGCGACGCCTGCAACCCTTGCGCCCGCGACCGTGAGCCACCGGACGACCTCGCCAAGCCGCCACCGCCGTCGGACGGGCCGCCGCTAGACGCGACGCGACACCTGCGACCCCTGCGCCCGCGACCGCGACGCCGTCTGACGACCTCGCCAAGCCGCCGCCACCGCTACTCACCGACGCCGTTCCCGCCGCAACTCCGTTCATCGGCCTCGACCAGCTGGGACCAGCGCACCAGCGGCGTTGCCATAACCTGCTGTGAGGTATGTGTAGATATACTTGTTCGGATCTTTTCTTTTGGAGATGGAAATGTTTAGGTTTTCAAATCTGCAACTCCTTTTTCCATAACCACCTTTTGAAACTAATGATACTGACAGTGGCATCCCCTAAGAGTCTCGAGTTAACTTCAAATTGTCTCAAGTTAACTTCAAATTGTCTCAAGTTAATTATGTTTTATGTTTATGATATTGACAGTAGCATCCCCTGAGAGTTTAGTTGTACAGCATGTTCGTTGGTTGGTTTCTGGGCTGATAAGTCCGGCTGATGCTGGTTTGTCGTGAGAGAAAAATATTGTACCATGGCTGATAAGCCCTGGCTGAAACCAACAAGCGAACAGGCTGGTAGTCTGCAATGTAAGGTTAGCCCTTTTTTTGGTAAGATATATGTCTCTTTGTTCAGTGATGATGGACCCTCTCTCTGAGCGATTCTCAGTCATCCCATAGATCATTGATTGTATGATGACATGCTTGTCTCAATGGTTGTCCTAATCAAGGTGTCAGCTGGATCAGGAACAGTTTTGAAGGCCATGCACTAGAAGCATGTGAGAATATTTAGGATTCCTGTAGGATCAGAAATAAATAGTAGATCAATTCCAATTGATATCACTTGGAACTCTACCAGTTTGGCTTGCAATGTTAGTATGAGATGCATATATATTTTCTCAGTCTGGAGGCTACATATTTAAGTTTGACAATGTTGGTAACCACGACCTCTGCCGAAACTAAGCAGCCACCAGTGCATTATTTATTTTCTGAAGCCTAGATTGATTTTCATGTCTATATTTGTTTCATGTCTATATTTGTTTGCCAATAGCTGTTGAGCCAACCTCACCCCGTCGGCTAGCCCCGTGCCCACCAGCGTCCACTGGCCAGCGTCCGCCAAGCCCCCAGCCAACCAGGGCGTCAGGCAACTGGTGCCCAGTCCTCAAGTGGCCAAGCACTGCCCCTGAAGGCTGCAACCTCACCCTTCTGCCCTTGTCTGGTTGCCCCCTGCTGCTGCACAGAGAGCCATACAGT